CCCCAAAACCCCAAAACCCCAAAACCCCAAAACCCCAAAACCCCAAACAGAATATGACATATAGAATTAATTTTAGCGTGTAATGGAAACTGTTGAAGACTTTTCAAAAGAGAAAGATGCTGCTAAGTCTATGCTGAAGCTGGTAGAAGAGAGCATACAAGAGCAGAAGGAGAAGAAAGAAAGAGTAAAGTCTTCTCTCTGTCCCTCTTCTAATTGGAATGCAGTCAGAAAAGGTATCAAGAAAGGAACTCTAGTCCCAGAGAAGAAGGAAAAGAAGGAAAAGCCAAAGAAAAAGAAGAAGAGGAATGCGAAAGCTGATTCTAAGGAAGCAGAGAATAAGGGTGGACCCATAGTTGAGCAAGTCTTCTATCCCCAGAAATTTAGCAACTCTAAAGCACTCACTCCTATTGTGGCAGTTGATTGAGAAATGGTCGAAGTTGACCACGATAGTGATGCTCTTGCAAGAGTCTCTATTGTTAACTATAATGGTCATGTCTTGTTGGACACATTTGTTAAGCCAAGAGGAGTGATTACTAATTATAGAAGCTGGGTCAGTGGAGTATATCCTTCCTCCATGAAGAATGCAATGCCTTATAATGAAGCCAGAGAGAAAGCAGTCGGAATTATGAAGGATAGGATCGTTGTTGGCCATAGTTTAAAGCATGACTTTAAAGTTCTCAACTGGGAACCTCTTCAGCATAATATGAGAGACCTTATTACATTTAAAAAATTCAGAGATGAAGCGAACAAGCATCCAAAGTCATTAAAGAAGCTAACATCAGAATTTCTTGGAAAGACTATCCAGACTAGTGCTCATAGTAGTGTGATCGATGCAAGAGCAGCTCTCGGATGATATCGTATAGTTGAACACCAATGGAACCAGATAATCAAATCCAAGCTCAGCAAAGTTAAAAGGATTAAGAGAGAGGGAGAAAGCACAATTTTAGGATTTAAAAAGAGAGAAAAGAGTTAAATTTTAGAATTTAATTGTTTTTCATAACTTTAAGAACAATTTACCTTCATTATTTCAACTTAGCAATAACCTAAATGACATCCATATCTTGTTTTTGTTCATTTCTGTAGTTGCATGGGAAGTAATCTAATTGGCTGAAATATTTAGGGTCAAATTCAACCCTCATATTTATATTTGGGGTTTTGGGGTTTTGGGGTTTTGGGGTTTTGGGGTTTTGGGG